GACATGACGTATACGCAATTTTCCACATTGCTTAGCATCGATCGCATAAACAAGATAGGACCTATGCTCTTAATTTACTTGAGGGTTCTTTTCTTTTTTTTGGATTTCCGAAAGCAACGTTACACAGATGTTTTGCCAGCTGAACAAATGCCAATTGAAGGAACTCCCACATACCAGCTTATAAATCTTAGTACAAGGTCTAACTACCAAACTGAGGACAAGTCATAAATCTAAATTTGGCAGGGCAGAAATCAAAATTTCCAAGCACGCACATATAAGAAGAGAACGCCATGTCCCAGTTATAGTTTTGGCCAAATAAACCCACTCAATATGTTGAGATATCTGGGTCAAGCCATGAGTAATGCCCTCCTTCACAGTCGAAAGCCGCTTAAAGAGTTCGGCAAACATAATGGTGGAAATAAAATGAAATCTTTCGTCTGGCGAGCTCCTATTGGACCCGTAACCTTGGCAAAGTCCATCCGTACTTCTAGGCTGGCCAGTGGCCACACGCACACATAAATAATTAAAATGACCTCATAACGTTTCGATTTTCTCGTTTTTTTTTCTGGCTCCTTTTCATTGTTTTTCCCTGTTTTCGACTGCTGGGTGGACTTTTTGGCGCTTTTTCGACTTTTTGCCGCAGTCATTAATGTAATGGTCTGCATTATTTGCGAACATTCAGAGTGTTAGTGTCCATCTCTGTCCTTCTATTTATCTGTTTCCCCCTCAAACTCTATTCCTCGACCTTAGGCCTAGACACTAAATATATGTGAATGACACGCAACGCACTAGGACGCCCTTTCAATTAAATTAGGTGAGTTTTTAGTTTATGTTTTTATACACAGTCAAACCTAATTAAATTATCAAATTGGACTGCCGATTTATTCTTTAAAAAAATATTGCAAACATTATTTGTAAACTCTAAGGAAAACAAAACGATATAAAATTACTTCATATGTTGGGCTATTAAAATATTTCTAAAAATTCCTAAACTTTAATTTATTCTTTAAAGAAACAATGATATAAGATAAAATACAAATTTATTTAAAAATATGCTATATATACTTATGCAAAGTTGTAAAACCAGTACTAAGTCTGCGGCTTGGGATATAGAATTTGGCCAGTAGATTTTATTTCTGTCCCTGTGCTTCTGTTATATATGCTCTTGTGTGCTGCTTTCAGCTTTTTATTGCTGGTCACTTTTATTTTCGTTCTGCTGCCGTTCGATAGGGAACTTCCCTCTTTTTGTGTATTTTTTTTATTTTCGGTCTTTTGAGCTACAGCTTTCCTCAGCAATTTTTCTGCTTGGTATTTGCTGGGCAGTCATTCATGACGTGGCCACCATTGCTACGGCCTAATCCTCCACTGCCGTTTTGCCTGCCAAATCGGCTGTGCCATCAAATTAAACGACAACTAAATTGGCGCACATTTTGCGCTATTTGGCAGGCTTTTGTCTGCTCTTCAGGGTTTACATAAGCACAAAAAAAACCAGCCAACAAGAAGGCAAATAAAATGCTAACAACGACAACAGCTGACATTGATTGGGGCTCGAAAGGCTGGCGCTGAGTGGAAAAGCGGGTCTAATAGCTGTAATAATAATAAGTAGCTGATAATTTGACACTAAGCCACGGGGTCGCATGCGTAATGCGCTAGAACTAAACCTGAATGGGTGTTAACCAGCAATCAATTGGTAAAAAGGTAAGGTCTCAAAGTTAGACTCATTTAATGATTTGAAAACACAGTTAAGATTTTAGTTGGTATACTTAAAGTGTTTAAATAAAGTGTTTGATTTATTTTCATCTTAAATTAATTTCATTTTATTAAAAGAACTATTAAACAGTTTTAAGGTTCTCAAAAAATATCTCAGATTATCAGGTCTTTTAATTACAATTGCCGACAGTATTGTCACATTTTAGGACATTTAAAAATGTCCTCTCCAAAGAATAAGCATATCTGTGGTGCCGCATTGTATTTTCGTTTTTGATTCGCTTAGTAATTGCTTCAAAATCAAATCAAATCGACCCCAATTTCATTCTGCTTCTGTGCACCTATTCATTGGAGTCTTGCCATGTCAAAAAGCTTAAGGCAATCACTTTTCGGGTGCGAATCTCTCGATTCTCTCTCACCACATCACCCAACACTTCCGTCTTATCCACCTCGGAAAATGTCGAGTGCAATTTCCCGACTGACTTAATTAGTTGCTGTCACATTTTCTGGCAGCCCGTTCGGCAAGACGAAAGCCCCGAAAAGCCCTCCGGCCACGAACACTTGCAGCTCCCTTGGCGCACATGGAAAACTTTCAGAATAGATTAAATTTGTTCTGGCTGCGGTTCTGGGAGGATTCACCACAGCTTCCATCCCCGAAAGAAAGCGCCGAGTTGCAAGAAATGGCCAAATTGAGTGCACACAAGAGGCGAAAACAGGGAACTGGGAAAAGGGTGGGGGAATGGGAACGGAGCAGATAGTTGTTGCACAAGTGCAGTTTTCCTGCTGCCGGGCCTGTACTGTCCAAACATAAAAAGGATAACACATGCAGCTGCCACTGCAGGGCCAATAAGTCGGCAGATAGTCCTGCCAACAGGATGAGCCGTTTTTCCAGAGCCCCGCAGCTTTACGGCCAGTGCTCAGTGTTGGCCTATAGTGATTGAAAAAGCCGAGCCACTCACATTAAATATTAAAATAAATATAATCTTTTAAAACCTGATATTCGCCTTGATTAAAGGTCCTAGTAAAAAATATCTTTATTCAAAAAATACCGAACTGAGCACACATAAGCCAATTTGTATGGTTTTTCGATTTAGGTGGGTAACAGAGTTAGCATATACAATTTTTGACAGTCTGCTTTTTTATTTATTAATTTTTAAAATAAATACAAACAATTTATTTTTTTAGCCTTCACAATATAGTATTTTTTTCTGTTTTATTTGGATTTTGATTCAGAAATAATAATTACATATCATTAATATAATTGTTAAAATTTAAATGTAATATTTTACAAAGATACTAAAAGTATGTAAATAAAAAAATTTACTTTCTGTGTTTGAAAAATTACCATATTCTTGAGATTTGATTTCTTGAGATCTTTTATAAAATGATAATTTGAACTCAAATCTAAATCTATCTTAGCTAACTTCTTCAATAAAATTGTCGCTGATTTAAGCAACAACTGTTGCCTAAAGTACACTGCTCCGACATATTTGATAGGTATAGCCTCCAGTTTTGACCATAAACTAGCCAAGTTGTCAGCTTTTGCCGTGATGTTCGTCCAGTTGTGACAACAAAGGAACGGACCAACGCGAAAGCAGAAAGGATACAGCGAACGGCAGCAGAATAGAGCCTCTGTGGAAAGGCCAAGCTAGTTGGGGCTGCCTTCGGGCCATTCAATTGTCCGCCTGATCCCCGGCAAGGCGATGCCAGTTAGCCCCAGAATTTCCTCCTATTTGCCTGCTGGCCCTTTCATTCTCTTTGCTGTTGATTTTCCATTTGGCCAGGACGCCGCCTCCGCTTTTCCCCACGCTCAGTGTTTAATGTTTTTGGCTTTCAGTTACCTGTACGAGTATGTAGGTCAGAATTTTACAGCCACATACAAGTGCATGTCATTCCCTGGTGGAATATAGTTTCCAGAGATATTACGCATAAGACAGCTTGGACACGGAACATGTTTGTCATACAAAATAAATAGTATGCCAATGAGGTGCGAAATGAATTTCTTTTTATTAACAATTCCCACGAACTGGAAATGCTTTTTGTTCCTTGTCGCTCTGTTTTCGTTAGCCAATTCCCATATTCTTTTTTGTTTAATAAACCCAATTTCACAGGTCAAAGGAGGAACACCACAATCAACAAGAATTTATACAATCGGAGAGAAAAAATACAGTTTAATCTTTGAAAAAAATGGAATTGGCAAGGACTCGCAACGAAAAGATACACACAAACCAAAATATTTATCGGTGTTGCTTAAATATCCATTCAGTACTGAATTTCGTGAAAAGAAAATACTAAGTTATATAGGATGAGAGACGCAAAAATAAAGCACACCAGATTTACACTTATTATTGAAAGTAATTTATCATGCATCCATATTGCAATGGATGATTCTATTCAACACGAAATGAAAGCCAAACATTGCAGCGTCATTTCACCTCTGTGTATGATTATACGCCCCTCGGTTCCCTCGATGCACTTTAACCAGGAAATTCAATTTGGCGCATCGCGGTTTATCCAAAATGAAGAGAAATCGGTTTGAAAGTTTTTTCGTTTTGCTTTGAACATCGATTGCCTGCCGTAGGCAAGAAAGGTGATGAAAAAAATAACGAATTTAAGCTTCTACACTTCAGCAGAAGGAGGTACTAAAGGTTAAATACCATTTTGTATCGGTTAAAATTTCAAAAGTATCTGCTCATAATATCCATTCAGATGTCATTAAATTAAATATTTAAAAAAGTAAGTGTTAAGCTAAATTATTATCATCATCATCACAAAGATAAAATTATTTAATTATTAAAATCGACCAAATAAATTTGTTTTTTATAATTCTTAGCACAAAAATTTTAAACTTCAATAAAACAAGTGTAAGGCACACGATATTCGACACTTTTAGATAATCACAAATTATTAAAAATAATTATTTATAGCGTATTGGATACGTGGAATAAAATATAGAATAGAGAAGTTTAAACCTATTTTTTTTAATTTCACTATCAAATTCCAGGACAAGAGAAATGTTGGTCTTGCTCTAATGTTTTTTAGTTGTAAGCAAAGCTATCTTTATATAATTCTCTTCTAATAGCACCATGAATGAGAGGGTATACAAATTATGTACGTTTAAGGATTAAAATAGTCTCGTGGCCACGTGGCGTATGTGTAACTTTTGCTGCACTCGCCTGGCGGCTGACGTAAATTGCCATAATTACAGAGCCCGGCCCCGAAATGAAATAATATGCCCATCACCTCCTGACCGCAAAGGACACACTCCTTGCGACCGAATGGTAGTGACTTACCTAATTAGCGACAGGATTTCCAGCAGCAGCACGCAGCGTTGTTGTTGTTGTAGTTGTTGTTATTGTAGTAACTAGCGCCACCAAGCGGGCGACAGACGGACTAGCCAACAACGTTCATTTGGCCCTTTAGGCTATTGTTGTGGCGTTGTTAACTGTTGTTGTTGTTGTTGTTGTTGTTACTGTTGTTTCTGTCGTCGTTGTTGTTGGCCAACAATCTGGCAACGCCTTTCAGCCCGCTTACAATATTGTGTTGTTTATTTTTTCTACCTTTTTTCTACCTTTTTTGTTACGATTTTTTTTTAGTGGTTGTTGTTACTTTGCTTGTTGCAACTTATGTGCAGTTGCCGCTGGCTGTGGACTGTGGGAGTGAACGAGAGGGTCGTATATAGAGGGGGAGTGAGTGAGCGAGAGGGGGCGAAGGGCGAAAGTTGCAAGGACACGCATCGCATCGCCTGACGAACGGCAAACACAGGATTTCGCACTAACACTCGCGAACAACCGACGATGTACGACACTTTGAAATGTATATTTCGTTTTTCTCTTGTTTTTCTTTTGATTTTTTGCACTGCTGTTGGTTTTAGGTCCTTTGAAACCACCACCTTCCGCCCCACTAACAACAACCGACAGCAACAATAAAAGGCCACCCAGTTTTATATCATTTCTTATTTTCGCCTTATTTGGCCAACTTTTGGCGCTTTATGTTTGGCCATGTGATTTTCGTTATTTCGCTCTGCCCTTTTTTATGTTTCTCTCGCTTTGTTTTGTTCCCATATTCGCTCTTGCCTTTTACGATTGTTTTGTTTACTTTGAAGTTTTAACTGCGATGCCCTGCGATGTATGCTAAAGTTTTCCTCGATTTGTTCCACCGACTCTGCCTCCTCAGTGGCTCATTTGGCACCACTTTCTGGCCAAAAACTTTTTGTATTTCTTTGAGTAAGTGATGGCCGAGCTGCTTATGTAAGTGGCAGCAATTTGCCGAGCAGTTAGTTGGCAGCGGGTAAAAGCAGGAAAACACTTGCCTTGAGGTGAAAAACTTATGGAAAGTGATGTAAAGCTGGGGCCCAGATAAAAGTCTTTGGGAGCGACAGGGAACGTCTTGATGAAATTTATAATGGAATCTTGTAGAGTTGAAGAGGTCGAGCAAATAAAGTTGCTTTTTTAAATAACCTAAAGTCTGAGAAAGAGGGAAAGTTCGAAGATCCGTGCTTCCAAAGATTTTCAGTTGTCTTCTAAAACTTTTTAAAATATGGCCAATTGATGTAGCATTGGCATAAAACTAATAGTTGCCAAAATACATTTGGAGAATAAAAAAAACGGAAAAGATAAAATGAAAAAAAAACTTTACTATTGCTTAAGAAAATATCCAAGATAAGTTTAAGCTAAAATACAATTTAAACTTGAAAGTGAAAACAAAATGAAGTGATTCTATCCAAGTAGGTGTTAAAAAAAAGAAACATTTTTGAAATATAAATTACATATTTTGGACTTAAGTATTTAAAAGCATATATACTGCTTAACTATAAACTTTAAATTCCCCGCCTCATAACATTTGTACTATTATTAATTTTGTTCCGACTCAACCACCTCAATGTTTCCATCCACCCGTGCACAAATGGCACCCGCTTTTTCCCAGCGATTCATTAATAAATAATTTCTAGCACTTCCTATACTGGCGTATGTTTACATGCCTCTATACCTCTATATATGAACGGCAAATGCTGAAAAAATCGTGTTTGTCTTCTGCCTCAATGAACTATTTCTACTTATTTATGCACTAGATTATTGCCAGGCATATTCGCGTGAAAATTGTGCGCTTAAATAAAAGAAAATGAAACAGAAATAACCCATTTGGCTTTGAATTCAATTTGCATCGTATCGCTAAGTAATTACGACAAAACGTGTGCCGTACCGAAACTATTTATACACTTCCAAGGGTTTATAATGCAGTTTTTGGAAGATTAATATCATAATGGCCTTTAGGAAGAAAGTTTATATCTATTTCTAAAAGATATAATTAACTAACGCTGTCTTAACCTTATCATCTATTTATTTCGCATCATTTATGTTAGACAATGTAACGAAGCAGACAATTTTTCTCACGCTCTGAGGAAAGATTTTAAAAATAAACCAAAGCAATGCAAAGAGAAATGCAAAAATGCGAAACAGCAGATCAAAGCAAAGGCAAGCAAAAATATCATGTGTGAGTGTGATGATGGTTCGGCATTTAACAAACGAAAAAACAAGGAACACTAAATTTAATTTAATTGTGTTTTTTGTGAAAACAAATTCGTCCGCTAGTCGGTACACATATGCTGAGTATATTTTGGTGTTTTTCATCTCATTACTGCGAGGGTGGCGGTCAGACAAATGCCTCTGTTTCAATGTCTGTCCTTAACACGGCATTGGTATGCTGGGAATTTCGTTGAAAACGACATTTTTGTCTAGCAGCCAACACGCCCCGAAATATGCAACATGTCTTCCTGGCCCCGCCACTTCGTACCGCCCCATATCCACATTTCCTTGGTGAAGGCTCCACCCAAGAACACGCAATGTTCGAGGACGAGGACTTTGCACTAGGAAAAAATAAGGAAACTATCAAAATCTGTTATTATTTTCAAACCAAGTTGAGTTTTTTTTTTATCGAAAAAGGTTTTTGTTAAATCTTGTGTTAAAATTAAATGATTACATGTTCAAATTGAGCTTTAGAATACTTTATTGAATTCTTTATTTAATTTATTCAATGCCTAGATTTTAAGTTCAAGAACATCTTCTTCGAGAAAGAAATGTTGTCACTCATTTGGGAAGGATCAAAATAACTCCAAATTTTGATTAGATTATGATATATATAATATTTCAACAGAAACCTAACCAATAACTGTTTTGGTTTTTTTTAAAGAAAGAACAAGAAATTCGTTTCGAAAAAAAATAACACACCTTACTTTTTAAAGGTTCATAAAATCTGTATAGAAATGGGTTAAACCCTCAGTTACAACGCTCTAGATTTTGTTACCAGTGTGGGTCACATACTAGCTGACTCATAAGGCATTTTGGCTAATGATTGACTGACTGCATGAACGAGTGACGGACTGATGGACAGACTGACTGGCGAACTGAATGACTGACGGAATGACTGACGGAATGACGAAATGACTAACCAGCGTGTGTGACTTTTCCCAGTTGTGTGTGGGCTTTCGGCGACTTTGCGTGTAGTTCGTAATTTAAGTAATGTGGGTCGCAGCCTGAAAGCTGAGTCCTGCGTATCCTTGTTGCTGTTGTTGTTGTTGCTGCTAACGCGATTTACCTTTCGAGTGAAACACGCGCCTCGGTTCCGTTAAGTTAGCATTAGCTATAGCTATAGCTTTACCGTTAGCTTTGGCCCGGCATGCAGCATATATAGAGCTGCGGTTATAGCAGCCTAATTGTCATTGAAGGCAACCCACCCAAGACATAAATTCAATTTCTTTCTGTTCGATGTGACAAGTCTTGAAGGAGGCCCCCACCCAAAATAAGCCCCCTGCCACCCACTAGCCACCCCACCTATTGCACCCCTTCCCTCCCTCCCTCCCTCCCCCCATCCCCACATGGTTGGTTGTAGTTTTTGTTATTATTTTTTGATAGCCACCTTTTCGTGTGTTGCTTTCTCGCGATGTCGTCGCCGCCAAGAAAAGGGGCTTCCCCTCCTACTACACCCCTTTGATTCTTTTGCGTTTTCTTGACTTGTTCTTTTGGCTCGACGGCCGCCGTCTCTTTCTCAGATTCTATTCCCGTCTCTGTCTCTATGCACTGGCTGCACCTTGACACTAATATTGAGTAAAGTAAAAAAAAAAAAAAACAAAAAACAGAAAAAAAAAAAGGAAAGCAAGTGCAACTAAAAATAGTCGGAGAGAGACCGCTAAAAGCGAATTGATTGGCGGCTGTGTGTGTGTGCGACTTTTGGGCACTTTATGCGGACACTTGGCGATTTTATTGTCAAGTTATAATTGGTAATTGATGCCGATACCCAAACTGATTGTGTTATGATACAGCTCATTCAATCGGCTGATTGCAATGGAATTAAAGCGACTGCAAATGATTTTTGATTGACATCTACCCAGCGGGGGATGACTAAAGTTTGGGGGTTTTGCATAAACTTTCACAGGCTTAAGTCAGTCATTTGGTAAGTTAAAGTTTGTTTTTGCTGGAGGCGACAAAACTAAAAAGTTGTATAAAGGCTTACAAAATTCAAATACATACTATTAATCAGTTTAAGCTTTTGAATAGTTTCAAATATCTTACGTAACTGATTTTAAGGGTAAAAAGTAAAAAAAAACATGTTTTAAACTAATCTGACATTATAATTTTTGTTCTCTAGGTAAATTATTAATATTTTAAAGAATTTTTTTATTGCCGCTGGTGCGTATACTTAACTTGTTTGTACAAGTTCTTCTTAATTCGACCCTTATCTTTACTTCAAATAAGTAAGTTTTTAAGATTTTTGACTGTTTTTAAGTGTGGTGAGCGAGCTATACACTGGTTTTTCTACTTTTAATTTTGTTCAATTATTTGCAATCTTAATTCTGAAAACTTTCCTTCAAGCCACTTTTTATAATTTTTTTTCATATTCCATATTACACTTTTACTATTTATTTATTCAATCCACTTAAGTTTATTATCGCTTAGCACGCAAAACCGAATTAACTTTGAGTTTCTCAGTTTTTGCACACATTAATAGCCATGTACGGGTGCGTATACTTAATATCCACCGCTAGTACAATCCTCGTTTCAAATCTCATTTTTCGCATCCTAATTCTCTCGCCTTTAATTTTTAATAACCACTGTTTTTTAAGCCACTCAATCTTGCAACGCTTATTGTCGCTTCACACGCTTCACCGTTGTTGTTTTTGCAGTTGCCATTGACCATTGTTGTTGTTGTTGTTGTTTTGGTTGCTGCTGGTGGCAGTGGTGTTGGTTATTATTCCGCACCCAACAAAAACACCAAAAGAACCCAACACCAGAGCTTTACATAACTCACTCGCTCACTCACTCACTGCAAAAAATGGAAACACGGGAGGGACGTTAAAAATTCAAAACACAAATGCACTTTTAATTTCGCACACTGCAATTTCCACGCGTTTTTCAACTATTTTCCCAACACACATTTATTGGCCACTCAACGGGCAGGCATATTCGCATTATTTCCGATTCCGTTTTCTTACGAATATCATCTATAATATATATATATATATATATATATATATATAGTATATCGAGGGCGGTGAAGTCGATATTACTACGCTGGCTTATTGTTTGGCCCGTCCGCTGTGGCGACACAATTTTCTCCGCTTCCGCAGTGCTGTTGAATTGCAAACCCGACCCGAACTGAGACCTCAACTGACCAAGTTTTCCTTTTCATGCAGTTTGGCACGCATTTTCGATTCGGAAAAGCGGAAAGGCAGGATGACGAAGCGCGGCGAACACCGAAAGGTCTCTGGTGCGCCGCTTGCTTTTCGATGTCGCCTCCTATTTTCCGTTCGGAGCCAAAGCTTTCGGCCGGCTCTCTCCGAAGCTCCGCCGGATTGGGAAGCTTTCCGAGTGCCCCAAAGCTCCACAGCTGATTGCTGCCAGTGCATGCGGCATTTGCCCACTAACACCCCACCCCGCCCCCCAGACAACCTTCGGCCGTAAAAACAGCTGATGGCCGAGGGTCAGCCTCCGTGTCGAAAGAGACATGGCGGCAAGTGACGTAATTCGTTGCGGATTCTCGGCGCACAGTGGAATGCATCCGGATCTCACCACTCAAAAGTGGGGTGACGAGTATTGTTAGATTTTGGATGCCTAACTCATTTTGAGTTTGTTTTTGACAGCTATATTTGAACTTCATACGCGAAAATAAAAAATTGTATACTACATCTTTGATTTCTTTGTGAAAGTACTATAATTTCAGCCAAAAGTTTGCAAGGCATTGAAGGAAGCATAGCCAACCCACAAAAAACTCAAAGTCTTATGGAAGCCTAAAAAAAAACATTTTTTTTCCACAATTTATCATGGCAACATGAAATTATTAAAACAGATAAGGTGCAACTTTGTCAAAAATGATTTTTTTAAATAAAAAATTATACACAAATGTACATTACTTAAAGATTTTAAGTTTATACACGAAAATAACCCGAGGCAAAGACGATTTTACGACTTTATAAATACAATTTAAGTTTTATAAAAATTTAAAAATGCTGGTAAGGTAAAAATAATCATTTTCGGGCCGTGATCGTAGGAGTAGTGCCATCAAACTATAATAATTAATAGCAAATCAAAATGGCTTTATTAAAAGTTTAAGATTAATTAAGAGTATTAATTGAAAAAATCAAATAATTTACGGAAAACTAACTTTTATTGTAATATGTTATGTTTATAGCGATGATATTAGTTTCGGTTTTTATTCTTTTTTTATAGAAGTAATTTATGGTCACTTTGTTCAAATTTTGTAGTTAATTTAGCTATCAATGAACTGAAGATAAAAAATTTAATTGGCAGGAAAACAGGCTAGAATCGTAAATTAAACTTAAAACAACCAAGGAAATAAACTTCGGCATTCAGAGGTTTATATACCCCTTGCAACTGTTGCAAGCATTAAATATTCCTTCAGACAACTAAATTTTGATTTATAATCGTATAGGTTAAAAAATATTAAAGCTATCGATTTTTAGCTCAATTATTCGATCGTTCCTTAGGCAGCTACATCACATCCATCGTTTTCCGATTTAAATAAAAATTTAAATAAAAATTTAAATAGATAAATACATAAATTATTTATTATCAAGCCATTACTATGTTCAAACAAATGTTTTGAAAAAGTTAAAACAATTATTCGACCATTCCTATGGCAGCTACATGACATCCATCGTTTTCCGATTTAAATAAAAGTATAAATTAAATGAATATTTATCATCAAGCCATTGCTATGCTCAAATTTTTTTTGAAAAAGATAAAACAAAAAATTAGTTAAAAAAATATTTAATTGATATTATAATTTGTTCTTATTACTTTTATACCATGGTCTTCCAATAAAACGACTTTGTTATTATTTGAAATATTAATTTTATTTTTAAATTGCAATTACAATTTGTTGTTGTTTGCTTGTCTGTTCACTGTTTGTTGTTTTATGCTAAGTGGTATTTTATTTGTATTTATATATATTTCACACATTTTCTTGCAAACAATATCAATAATTCTTTTAACCTAATAACAGATGCCACTTTGTTTGTTTTTTGGTTTTGTTGTATCCCTTACACATGTTGGTTTTAATATTTATCTCTTTTGTGGTTCAATCTCGGCCTGGCTCCGATTCACCGACATCAGACACGATTCCTCAAGCTTAAAAATAAATTACAAAATACAATCATTCAACTTATATCCGAAGATACAAAACAAAGCGCACAATGCAGTATTTAACTTAGTGGTAATCACTTGCAGAACTAATTACAATATTACAATAATATGGTAAAACGCAAGGGGAAAACAAAACAACAACGTAAAAAGCGTAGTACAATACACAACATTACCCTCTAAATGTATTTTAATAAGTATGCGAATCGTTTATTTTGTAATGAGTAATAAACATTTCTCCATTGCACTGCATTTGCATTTGAAGTAAAGCGCTTGCTTTGGTGTATAATGTTTGTATATATATATATAGGGGTGTATATATATACTATAGATAGAAATATGTATACCTTGCATATAAAATTATCTCGGCGCAAATATTCGCTGCTTATGCACAGTGTGAAGCAGTTAAAATGAGTTAGTTGGGTTTGATGGTGATTATGTTTTTTGAGAAGAGCGCGAAAATTTGGTTGATCATCTAGTTTAGGCTTCAGTTAAGGTAAAAAGGTAGGCGTGGCATAATGCAGCATTGAGTATTAGATTTTTTTTCGTTTGGATTGGTAGTCCTTATAAAGCAATTATCGATTTAATTTTCCTCGTAGCTGCGTTTTTGTTTAGTATGCAGAGCTTGTGATTATGCTTAGGTTTAGTGTTATTAGTTTTTAGTATCAAGTGAAAAATATGATTTATACATTTCTTATGATACAATTTTGGTGACGAAATGTAACTTGTATTAAATGCGCTTGTATGTAAATATATATGGATGTACGAATGCAGGTGAGGCATATAGATGTATACTTCGTATATGTTGGGTATGCTGGGAGGACTTTGTTCTTGTATATGAAAGTAAATACAGAATATAATATGATTGAGGTGTATATGATATATGCATGTATAAATATATGTTATGCCATCTCTTCAAATCGGTGAGCTTAATTTTGAATGTATGTTCTGCTTAAATGCGTTTTCTTCTTGAGTATTTTCAATATGATGAGCGATAAATAATTTGATGTATTGTAGTTAATGCTAGAAAGTAATTTCATTTCAATATTATTGCATGATTTTTGTTTGAGTTTATTCTCGTGTGTTTTTCCAAGTACTGATTCAATACTTTTTAAATAGGTATGTTTAATATTTGTTATGTTTTACGCGACCTTATTTCGGTTTATCATTAAGCATTTTTTAAATTGTCGTAATTTGTCGTTTAATATTTGTTCTAATCACGTTTTAGTATCGCTTCTCATTCCCCATCCGACTATTTTGATATTGCTGTCATACACAGTTTCAGTATAGATCTATATCCTTTTACATGTTACATACATTATTCAGTTTTCATTTTACACTCCTATGCAGTAGATTCCACAAATTGCTGAGGTGCCTCTACATTGTTGTTAGCTTTAAGTGGATAAATGGACGGTTTTTTGTTTGGATTTCATTAGCTTTGTGTCGATTTCTTAAGTCTTTTAGTTTCAAATTATCGTATGTGTTATAAAAAGAACTCTGATTGGCTTGGGTGTTAGAAAAGAATCTATAAACTATGAAAACCACTCAAACGCAAGGTAGGGAAGGTTCAATGTGATTGTTTGTGGGGTTGCCATGCGATACGCTTTTTACACTAAGAGAAAAACTATCGTAGGCCATCGATAGCATTGCGATTTGTGCATTTTTGGACAGCTTGTTTGCTCTACTTGTTTTCCAATAAAAATATACAAACTCCAATCGAATTTCTCTCCTAGGTTTTTTTGTCACTGACGCAACCCAGCAATTTGTACAATCCCTGATCCATTCTATACATAGATATATATTTCGTCCCAATTGATTTATACAAGTATTGGTTAAGAAAGCTTATTTCATGCCCATGCAAAATATATTGTTTCTGGTATTTAATGTCGTTACTTTAATGTGCTGTATATGCTTAATTAGCCATATGCTGTGCCGTTGTTAGTTATTCGGTGTCTTATGTACATTATACATGTTTTTTCCTCTGTCAATATCAGCTGACTTTTTCTACTGCACAACACTCTTTTGATCGTCATACATGCATGCCTGAAGTTCGAAAGTTGACGCTTTTTATTTAGTATTTTGTTATTTAGGAAAAATAGTTTGCGTTTCCCATCCTGCTTTTTCGGTTTTTGGTTTAGTACTGCATAGCTAGCAAAATAGTTATGTCGATTTGGTTTGTTAGAAAAAACAGCAACGCTAAGGTAATGCAAAAGTTCTTTTCTTTTTCAATTTTGTTACTTTATTTAGTAGTTAAAGATCAGTGCATTTCCGTAATATCATTTATACACTCTATACAAATCGTCAGCGAATTTTCTTGAGTAGCAATCATCAATCATCATTTGCGTAGCTAAATACGAGGCCTAGTCTAGGTAAAGAAAATGACTAGAATAACTGGTTCGACTTAATCTAGGACTAACTTGATTTTTTTTGTAAATTTTTACACGGTGTTTTAAATTTGCAAGCTTTTCAGGCGCGGCGGCAACAATGTCCCTCATAAGAACATATACAAAAGTCACTCAAAAAATTAACAATAATTAGAAAATCAAGTTCGATAAAAGCTGGAGCAGCTAGCAAAGTTCTGTTCAATCGATCGGCGTTGAAAAGTTTAGATTCGTTATATATGCTAGTTCATACAAATTCCACTATTATTGCTTTATTATGTTATTCGAGTTTTTCGTGTTGACTTAGTTTGAAGATCTCTGGCTGATGGTATTCTAGAAAAAATACTGTTTGAGTGGCTGATTCGTTATCTAGTTGGAATACAATATTTGGTTGCGTTTGGTGTTGACTAGTGCCATATCGAAACAAACATCCTTGAGAAAAATGTAACTAAATCAGAGAAATAATTCTCATGCGATTGCACTACCGGACATCGTTGTCGCCTGACGCTCACTCTGCAATTCGCGGTTGCGTTCGTGCTCAGCGGTCTCAGAGCTGCAAAAAGAGGATAAAATTAGTTTTATAAATAAAAAGCTTGATTAAAACCCTAAACTATGAGAGCAAACAAATATTTTATGAGACTGAATGGAAGTTTTATTGCTGAATTCTTTTGCCTTTAATCACATTTTTAGTGTTTGGAAAAGATACTGTTTTATGTAAAAAAATACACAAATTTGTCTTTAAAACTATTAGAAACAAGAATATTTGTATAAATATTAAACAGTTTAATTGAAGGCTTTTTAAAGATTGTTATATTAAGTAAATAAAAATAAAATATTTTTAACCGAATCATATTAAAATCCATTATTAGTAAGGAGTTGTGATTGCCTATGTTTTTTAAAAGAACACCGCAATCTACGGATAAATATGATCGAAACATTTTCAAATAAACTTACGATGCGTGGGCATAACTAGAATAGGTAATTTAAATACCAAATATCTAGCTTTACTAGTTTCGAAGGTCTCGACGTTTATAAAGACAGGCAGACAAACGGACAGACAGACGAATATGACTAGATCAGTTTTGCCATTGCTCCTGATGACGACTTTATAGGATCGGAAACGGTTCCTTCTACTTAATACATACTGTTCAAATATACATATTTCGTTTTCTATCGTTTAGGGAATAGAGGTACTAAAATACTGATAGTAGTTCATAGTTCTAGATTTGAAGTTTTCTCATCTGGATGTACTTTTAAGAGCTCCAAAAAACATGCTTGAAAAAATCGTTATGTTCTGTGTGTTTGACAAAAGTGCAAGTACATTATTTTGTGTCCAGCTTACTTGGATCGCACCGCAATCGGACTGCCTGGTATGTCAACTGGATTGGCATTATTGTTGTTTGTGGTCGAGGCTCGACGTCCGTTGCCCGACTTGTACGAGAATATGGAGTCGTTTTCCATATCGTTCTCGATCTAAAAATACTTTGATTAGTTAAACCGATTCAGCAATTGATTGTGAGAATAACTTACCACCTGTCGCTTGTACGACAATCTCTCACTGGACACCGATCCGCATGAGGAGCTTTCCGAAACGGCCTGGGTTACACTGGTTACCGTGGGCGGACTACTGGGTCCTGGAAACCGCTTGGAGCACACCTGGGACTGGATGTGCTCGCAAATGCGTCGAAAACGCCGAATGTTACCTGCATGGGCAATGAGTTCAATTAGACCGTTTACAGGGTTCCATGATGGCGTATTGTTTACCTGATAGCAGCGTAAATGTTAGTGCAAACAACATATCTGCTATGTCACCTTGTTTGCAAATGGCACTGATGTCAACCTGAAAAGTATTCACGAGCCATTAGCGACCTGCGTTCCTGTTTGAAGGCTGGCCTTCAACTCACCTGAAACTTGACATGACGCTGGAACATGACGGGTCCGTTGCCATTCCGCTTGTACTCCACCCGAAACGAGGTGGGCGAAACCACGCTATGAGATAGTTCAGCCATCTGGAAAATGAGGATACATTTGAGATTGAGGCACAGGTATCTAGAGCTATGTATTTCAATACTCCACTTACGGATAGAAATGCGTGTATCAAATGCGCCTTGACCGTGGCAATGGGCTTGCCCTTGACCAAAATAGTGAAGGTTTCATCCTTCTCGGTTGTTATGAGATTACCAAACCAGGAGCGCTTCGTGAGCTCTGGCGAGGATTCGGGCGTCAAGTGCACCTCATCGGCAGAAACTGGGCAGATCAATGCAAATACATCAGTTCAAATTATATTTGCAAATTGTTTTGAGTAGTCCCACTTACCTTGCATTTTTCTGCGATGGAAGCGCGGACTTCCCAAGAAACTGTTCTTGATGTTGGTCAGTCGCGTCTTCCACAACTGGCCACCAGGTGTGTTGCACGGTGAGCCCGGCATTCCCGGACTGCTGTTGTTCATCATGGGCGAGCCATTGGGGTTCACAACTGTAAGGATTACCACATAGGTGATTATTCAGTTACAACTTTACACAGAAAAAATAATATCATATGCCAAACCGATATGTCTCTAGGTTAATTTGATATTTTTCTAAGCTCAAGCTTATCATTTTAGCTTTCACATATAGTTCTAAACTATGAAAAACATCATCTTAGCCTGTATCAAAGCGGTTTTCGGTTTATGAAACAAAATCGGATTGATATTGATTTCATTTGAATTTTTTTCTGTGTTCAACTGCTACTAGCTATCTACGGGGCATGCACACACCACTATTCGACTCGGGATCGTGGAACATACTAATGGCAATGGTCGGACCTGAGTTGGCACGGTGGTGCACCGACGGCGAGGCGGATGTGGATCCGCTCGAGTTGCCACCCGGACTGCTTGGCGGAATGCCGCAATCGCCACGCTCCCTCGGCGATCCGCCACCACGCTCCTGGCGCAGCGAGTCCCGTCGCTCGATGCGTGGCTCCCGCACCACCACCACATCGCCCTCGATGCTCTTCTGCGAACTGTGCGACGGTGTCCGGCTCACGGACGAGTGGTGGCCAGAGCGATCACGGTCGCCATATGTGGAGTGCCGGGTTCCCGCCGCCGGTGATGATGGCCGGGATATGGCATTCGCCTGCTGCTGCGCCGAACTCATCGGGGAGTTGCAACGCGTGGGACTGTGATATGAGGAGCTCCGCACCGACGAGGAAACTGTTGTGGGCGAGCGCCTTTGGTGGTTCCGTGTGCTGCTGTACGAGCGGAAGCTGTGGGGTAAACAAAAAACCAATTAGTTTGGTTCCAACACAATGTCCTTTTACACATAGAAGCCTAATGGGTACAACCATAGTGTAAATATAAAGTCAAAAGTCAAATTAATTGGGTTTAACCTAACCCTTTCTTTTTGAGATATAAGGAAGACCAAGGCACCAAACCATATCAAATGCCCATTTCAATCTCTTAATTAACATTTAATTTAAGTACAAGTTTTAATTGCAGCACAAGTTTTAATTTCATCACATGTATTAAATATAATTCTATATTAGTTTGTAATTTGTTTTTTAATTTGAAGTGCTGTTGTTTGGGTTGTTTTTTTATTTTAAAATACAGATTAAATAAGACAAATAAGTCAAAGGAAGACGTAAATTTCAGGGACCGCAAATAATAATTATTCATTCGATTGAAAAAAAAATCACAATTAAATGATTACAAAAAGTGATATTTTTTCCGACCAAAAATTGAATTCTTGAAAGACGCTGTTTTGTAAGCTAATTAAGCGGATCAAAACAACCAAAACAAAATGTATTACAAATTAAATTCTTTATTTTTTTAATTTTAATTGGTTTAAAAAAAATATGTAAGGACTTTTTGCTTTTTGGTTAGTATTGATTCACTTAAAAAGCTAACAAAATAATCGATTTCAATAATTCTGCACAAAAAAGTAATCCGACTTTGAAGAAAATTTTGTGAAAAAAAAATATCACTTAAAAAATAACAATTATAATATTTAGAGCAATTTTTTTTCATTTAAAAAATAATTACTTAATTCTTATTTCATCACTTATAATGATAACGGTCAATGGTAAAAGAATAAAAAGAATAAGGAATTGCAATTGATTCAGCTTAAATTAATTTAATGATTTAAAAATATTATTTTATGAGACGTCAGACTGTTGGAATACCAAATATTATAAGGAAACTCACTTAAAGGCCTGTCGCCTTGGCGTGAGCGGTGAACCCTCCGAGATCTGTCCGTAGCTGGGTGCATTTGTGCCGTTAATGCGACAGGTGTCGAGGCGTTTACGTGGCGGATCCACTGCATCCAGTTCACTGCGGGACTTCTGCGCAATTTCATCGTCATCCTCCAGCGCAGGTCGCCTTCGCTTCCGCTCCAGCAGCAGGAAATATATGACCTTCTCCGTATTGTGACTGAGGTGATTAAAGCATGTGATTAAACCCTCGATGTATTGGTAAGTGAATTAAAGAGCCCACCTCGCACTGAGCAACTCCTGGATGAGCTTCTCCTTCTCCTTGAAACAGCCCAGCGAACAAATTGCGTTCAACACATCCGGATCCACCGCAGTGGCTGTGGGAATCACATGTGTCTGCACCACCTCCATCATCGGCAGCTCCAGCTCCAGTTCGCCTTTGCCGCCAGCTGTGACCCACGGATGGCGGTTGATTTCAGCCAGCTGGATGCGGTCGAGAATAAAGCAAAAACCAGTTTTCAGGGAGGAAGTGTAAACGTTGGTAAGGGGGGGTGGTGGATTGGTTAAATAGCTGGCAACGTGGTGACCCAAAAACCAACAAATGCCTAGGGGGTGGCTTCTCAATGACTCACAGCCTACACTCGCAAAATTAATATCTGGCAAATTGGAATTTTTGTGAAATTAGATTTAAAATGCTTTGTGCTAGAAATTTTTTAGAACATTCACCTTTTAAGTACTTATATTCAAATTTAAACAATATTACATAAGCTTGAATTAACATTGAAAAATAACTTTTTTTTTAATTGTAACGTATTTAAATTTGTGTCTTGAATTTCTGAATACAATCGAATGAGATACATAATTAATGAGAAAATTTAAATTAAGTACCCTTAAAAGATTGTGAGGTCGCTCAAAAAATGTAAACTAAGTGTAACATTTCCTGAAAACGTATTTTCTATTTTGTTCTTTTTTTTAATTTATGATAAAATATTGTAATTTTTTGTGACAAGCACATTAAATATTGTATAAAGATTTACATGTAGTGTTAGGATGTCAAATATATAAAAAATAATTTTAAAAAATTCTACTCTAGCCTTCTTTTTATCAGCCTTTGTTTTGAGTGCACTTAGAAAGACATGGAATTTTGGGAAATGACATTGTTGGATAGCCGCTGCATATCGGGTGTGAATGTGAATGACTCACCGTGAGCCGCCGGTCCGGATTCACCTCAATCATGCCGCGCAGCAGACTCTGGCAGTCCGGCGGCACGAAGTGCGGTATGTGAAAGACGCCGCGCTTGACTTTCTCCAGCAGCTGGCGCAAGTTGTCGTCGTCGAAGGGCAACGCACCCACCAGCAGGGCGTACAGTATGACCCCGCAGGACCAGACATCCGCCTTGCGGCCATCGTACTTCTCGCCCTGAAAAAGTGTGGGATAAATTGGGTGTGATACATATATACATACATTGGATGGATATCAGAAATTGAGACATTTTCAAGGAGACAACCGACCACCGACTGTTTGCTCGGATGGATATTCCATTTGTGTTTGCTTTCAGCTTGATTATTTCGAAATTCGATTGGCCATTGTGCGTGGCCCCAAATCGTTAGGACCCTTTACCCGTTTTATCGAACCACATTCGCATGGGAATGCCATAAGCCCCAATCCGAATGCTTACTAATTTAAAAAGTTTTCTATTTAAAGACTGATACTGGGTATTGGGGGTAGGTCCGTTCAACTCGTTGACGTCCATTGACGTGTCCATCAAATGCCAAGTTTCTCACTCACTCCGACGATTCTGTTTTCCTAGGGGACGGTTATTGACTTGCCAGGTAAATGGCACAATGACTCGCAGTTTGTTGCCCACTACAACGTGTAATTGTAGCACGATTGTAAATTTCAGGCCATGTGCTTCCCCCTTAAAGGCAGACGGGTAAATCTTTAAGCACGACTATGTTAAATAATATATAATGAATTAATGTTTGCTTTAAAATGAGTCTTTAAAAGTACACAGGAGAACTAATTTATTTGACTATGTTTTCTGTATTTCAAATTCACATTTCTTTTTTAATTTTTCTCTGATTTATTACGATTTCTGCAAGACGTATGTGAATGAAAATATTACATACATTATTTAACCCTCTTCTTATGTATTCCCTGTCATAATCGAAAAATTCCCACCCACCCATTACTTGTGAACTCTTTCCAATTACAGCTACTCCCAAAACTCCAATTTGTAAGATTATACTCGTATGTCTGGCGTACGCTCGATTACCCTAACCAATTTTTGTATGTCGGTAACTTTAAGCCCGATTGGCGCTCTGTTTGTGGCTTGAGGCCCTGCCATTCCTACCATCAAAGATTGATAAACGACCACTTAAGTGATTGAGTACATGGGCCTTCCACGCAATTTTCCCCTACAAATTGTCAAGGCGGTGCCTTGCAGGGCAGATTTGGTTAGCAGACATCAATTAGGAGGTGGGGATAACTACCAATCCCCACTGAGCTTTGACTGTTGAATATTTATAAAAGAATATATATGCGAGCAGATGAGCTAAACATCACGTAGCAAGCCAGATTTATAACCCAGCCGGAGTATATGATAAGACTGAACGAGAAGATATTTTAAAATTCCCCTTATGAATTTATAACGGCTACATGAGCAAGAAGCATTGCCAGAAGCTGCAGCAGCTTTTGCTTGACAGATATACTGCAAGATACACTTAGGAAACTGTATAAATAAACATTAAGAGCCCTTATTTATTTATATGTCTATTTTGCGCTTGAATCATTTTTCAAAGGCTTTAAAATTAAATGAAACACAAACTTCCTTAAATAAACATAGGCAATAGATAGAAGCACCAAAAAATAAAAAAATTACTTGTAATACAAGAATTGAAAACATTTCCAAAAAACAAACATTTTAACGAGTTATAAGAATTTTCTTAATAACAAGCCAAGTTTTTACTCAATTTCAAAACCTTTTAATATATAATATGTAATGTTAATATCAAATGTTTTTCACAACAAAATCTTCCCTTTAAAAATAGCTCGTTACCCTTAGACTTATCGTACACTTTAAGAGGGGCTGACAACTTTTTGTTGGGTGCAGAGAACGCAGGGCTTCACGAGATGGAAAATCATATGCGCACATGACGTGCATTTGCATAGAAGGGATCCCTGACGAAATTTGCATAGGAAAGCGACTCCAGGAAGCCGCCCCCTTCACAGCCACCGAAGTTGCATTCGAAAATGTGCTAAAAAAAAAAGTTCGCCTTGATTGACGTTTATGCGTTTGCCGCACACCAGCAGCAGAAAATGGGGGGAGCTGCCTGGAGGGCAATCTTTTGGCCATTTTTCAAGCGAGACTTACCCGTATGACCTCCGGACACGCGTAGTGGGGGCTGCCGCAGGAGGTCTCCAGCATGCTGCCAGCCGGCTGCAGTGAGGCCATGCCAAAGTCCGCAATCTTAATGTTATTCTTCTCGTCCAGCAGCAGGTTCTCCGGCTTCAAGTCGCGATGGCTGAAACCCGAAATAAATCCCATATTGATTGCAGTTCGAGATGGAGATTTCATCGAAGGCTTACCAAATCGAATGCGAGTGGCAGAAGTCCAGGGCGGAGATGATTTGCCTGAAGAACTTGCGTGCCTCTTTAGGCGTCAGGCGACCCTTCTTCACCAGGTAGTCGAAGAGCTCGCCGCCGGATACATGCTCCAATATTAAATACAAATACTTCTTGTTCTCGTACACATCGCTCAGGCCAAGGACGTGCGGATGATCGATTAGTTTCATTATGGCGATTTCACGTTCAACCTTCGCAAAGCGAGTGATGCAGACAAACGATTTTAATCGACTTATCGACAATGTTGCCAAGTTCCCCATAAAAGCCCCATACCCACACTTGGAGAAATAAATAAATTAAAGCAACAAAATATCCTCGAATAACACACAGGAAGAAACAAGAGCGCTTAATTGCATTAAATAAAGATGATCAAGGTTTTTAGCGTAATATAGAGTATTATTAATATTTATGTACATACAAATGTAAGCAATACTTCCACCCATATTCTTCGGTTGGTGTTTGAAACCCATTTTAACCAGTTTCAATACGCAAAACGACGTTCCTAATTTTCATTGCATACTTTTAGGACACCCTTACACATTATTTTTAATCCTTAGTGGGTAGCGCCCATCATTATTGAGTTTATTTTCTTTCCTGTTTTCTAATTTTATAGAGTATCCCTTAGTTTTTTGAAGAGTGCACTTCGCCTTACAATGCATTGAAAGTGCTTGGTTCCTGGCAGGCCATTATGGCCCATTGTAGTCCTCCGAATAGCGTCCAATTTCTCATTGCGTGTCCCGACCAGCTGGTCCTACAACATGGACACCACACGCAATCATCGAGGGTTCTTTATCCTCATTTGCACCCGCGACCTCACCTCGTCACCCACCTTGCATTTCGATTGTCCTACATGTCTGGGCTTTTGTCACCCCCGAAACTTCACCCCAACCTCTGGGCAGTCAATTTTGTTTTACTTTGTTGCCGCACGCACTAATTTGTCCCATGTCCTTTCAGTGTCCTACAAAAAGTGCACCACATTTCGGGTAGATATACAGAGGAGGAGTTGGGGCGGGGGTGTCCTTTTCTATGGTTCTATTATGACAGCAGAGAAAAGATAAATAGTTAAGCTTTGCCGTGACTTTTATTGGAACCGAATGAATGGTGGCAAGTCTGAGAATGAATGAAATCTATTTAGAGTGTTTGCCACGTATTATAATAGACATGGTGCGCTCTCGATTATGGCAGAAAATCGATTACAGAATGAATGAATATTTACCACAGATAATTTGTGGTCTATTTGTAGGGTAAATGTTATTTGGGTAATAGCTAATCGCAAATATCAGTCGGAAAAATAATGTTTTGTACTTATAAAGCTAATATTAGATATTCACTTTTTGTGTAACCATTTCCCTGTAATAGAATTCGACTTATAAAAATTGTTTTATGCGAGTAAAATTGGCAAAAAAAACAAATATTAAATTTCAAAATTTGTCTTAAGGGCTTTCAAATAAATGTTAAAACTTTTTAAAGTGTTGTCTATAAACTTATTTAACTTTGCCTTGAAATTTAAAGAACATATAGCAAAGGTTGCAAATTTATTTTAAAACCAATTTAAAAAACAAAGTTCCCCTTTGACTTTCCCTGACTTTGGCACACTAAAGTCTCAAAGCCGAGGAAAAACCGCAAGACTGAAAAATCCCCAAAAACATTTCCCCATTCCTCAGCGTGTAATGTAAGTCCAAAAGTCCAAATGGCTGTAAGTTTGACTGCAATGCTCCACCTCTGGATCCACCCTAGCGACAGCCCCTAAACCAAGTTACTCTTTCAAGGAGCTGGGCAATAAAACAACGAACCACAAAACAAATTTTATTGTCACAGTTTTTTATGACTCGCACGCCGGGAGAAGACAAACAAGAAATAAGAACGAAATAGGAAAAGAAAGCCAAAAACAAAATCATAAACAGCGGGAAAACAATAAACCGAAGGCAGCAAAACTTTCCACCGAGTCATGACCTTCGACCCCGGCAAACTACTTACCTTCATTAGCACCGATTCGCTGAGTTTCTCGCGATTGATTATTTTGATCGCAACCTTCTTGCCAATCACACAATGCACGCCCAACTTGACGAGACCTGCAAATGAATAAATGGGAGATTTTAATTGCGATAACAATTCAGGAAATAGCAGATATTTTCTCTGTTTGTGTTCAAGTAATTTCCAAAGTATTATAACTCTTTGTTATTATGAGTGATTACAAAAAATGAAAAGAGGGCATGATATAGCTATTGTTTTCGAGTCGCAAATTGCTGAAATAGATATGAAAAGGTTGTTGCTTTTATTAACGATAATGAAGATAGAAAAAGTCTAATAAGTGATAAATAAGTTTTTTAATATTTCATTTTTTTATGTATTCCAATGAAGAACAGTATACATTTCTTTTGAAGTAGATGAGATATTTGTAACCAATTCGAATGTGTTGGGCAATGAAATTGTTACCAAAAAAAGCGGCGCTAATAGCAAAGTAATTTTATTGGTATTAATAATTAAAACATTGTTTTACCAATATATGGCTCCACCTAACAAATGTAATGATAGTTCTATTGCAAAACCCACTTAAAAATCGGTAAGTGGTAAAAGTTTTCCTGCACTCACCCGTTTGACCCTTGCCGAGGGTTTTCTCCAGGCGATAGGGCCCCACAAATTGGCAATTCTCCGCCGTGACATTGTTCTCCTTCTGCATTTTGTTGGCCGTCGCTTCGTCCTGCGTCCTTGGTCCCCGAGGGGCTCCTTGCTGTTAGCTGTTAGCTGTTTGCGGCTGGCAGCGTCAGCTGGCTTCTGGCCATGTACAGGACTCCTTCTGGCCCCACTCGCCCACTTGCAGAACGCCCAGCGCCCAACGCCCAACGACCAATCGCCGCTCCTACCAACTTTGTTGTCGCATAGCGCCAAGTGAGGTATTGGTCTGAGTGTGAGGGCCTTTAATTACTTTTGTTCGACAAAAGTTTTATTGCGATTGTTAAGAATTCCTTTTTGCAGCTTGCAAATGATGCAGCATTTAATTAACTTTTGCCTATAATTGTACTGGTCGTGTTGTAGTTGTAGTTGCTGTGGTTGTGGCTGCTATTTCCACATGACTTCATCACAAAATACAAGCTGCAATAAAATAGAGAGAGAGAGAGAGAGAAACAGAGAGATTGGTGAGTGAAAGAGAGGAAGAGATATAGAAAGGTCAATGTGATTACCAATGAATATTTATGTCCCCCTTGGCCAAACTGAATTTTTAATTGAAATAAATGGAAACTAACTATATTACCGGATAACTATTATTGTGTGTGTGTGTGTGTGTGTTAGTCAGTCAGGTGTTCTAATTAAAACACCTCACGCTGTGCCTGTGTGTTTGCTTCTCCTTTTAGCCATTTCAGGAGTGAATTTATGACCCCTACAGCTTCCTAAGAAGCAGAAAGCCATGGCAACACACACATGGACAGGTGCAAAGCACACATATTTAAGAGGGAGTGCACGTGTGTTTGCTTGTCTAAATTTGTAATAATCTTAGCTTCTTAAAGTGTTTAATTTTCAATTATTTGGCTATCAAGCTTAACTAAAGGTATATTTTGTTCTTGTCGCTTCCGAAGTAGTAAAAGTATTATTACCTTGCTAATTATGAATAAGAACAATATGTATAAGATTTATTAATAAAAGGTCAAATTTATTTATGTTGTAGACTTGAAGAATTAAATAACTGTTAATAAGTATTAAAACTATTAGTCTTTCTCATCATATAATTTATATAGAAACTTGTACAAGATTTAAAATGTATTTGTACATATAGCATATACATATGTATGGCATACTTTTTAAAAGCTACACTTTCTTTAGTTCTTATAAGATTCGAAGGATGTGAAATCTTTATGTCCACCCCAAGCCCCTGGATCCGAGCATGATATGAACCAATAATAACAATTACAAAATAATAATAACCCCGTTGATCAAAATCCGTTAATTGCTAACTCAAAAGATTTATTTTATTGGCCTTTTAAAATGTTTTGATTTATGACCTTTTCCAAGTTTCCCGCACAGTAGAAACCAATTAAAGGCAACCTTGTAACCATTTTTAAGCTCAAGATGCGCCGACAGAAGGTACAAATAATTTCTGGGGAATTTTCTCGCAGCTTCTTCGCCAATTCTTGCTCTTCAATCTGCCCACTGGCCGTGAAGTGAGACAAAATCGTTTAAAAATTTCATTAGAAGAGCACTAAAAACACCCATAGCAGCAACAACAATTGCTCAACGGGGCGTGTTGGCATAAAAAGCGAACATAAAACTTGGCCAACTACGAATGGTTAAGAGATGGGCAAGAACAAAGACCAGCGGAGGATGGAAAAGCCAGGGAATCAGGCTCAGTTACTGGACAAGAGGGGCAGGTGGGCCTTATATTTAGATGCTGACGCAGTCGCTGATAATTCTCCTAGCTGACGTTGAAGTGCCAAGTCCCAGGGACTGGTTTGAATGAGACACCAAACTGACAGGACGATGGATGCTCACGCGCTTAAATTGAAAAATAAGTGCACATCAAAATGAAACAGTGCGCAAATGTGGATACACAGAGAAAAACTCATTTTATAGCTACTTTACATGTCTCATCACGTCTATTTTAAAAAATATTTTTCCCTTATAAATTGCTTTTGACAAACATATGTATTTCTAATATTCCAAAAAAAATATATTAAAATTCATTAATCAGGGTGGGCCACGAAAATGTTGCGTTTAAAAATGGCTATAAAGAATAACGAGTGGATATTTCTCAAATATTATTTTTTATTAAAAATCCCTAACATTGCGGCTTATTTGTGGAATAACGTGTGTTACCCTGTATAACCCTAAAAATTATTTTTAAACTACGTTCTAATCATTTTTATGCCCAATTGTCGTTAAGGACATTATAGTATATGGCTGATTTGGAAAATCGTGATCCTTACGACCAATCCTAAAGTTGCCAATTAAATAAGATACTTAAAACAAGTCTATTTTATTTACTACTAAAAAAAATATTTTTTTACAATGTAATTTTGTAAGGGTGGTGTTTAGAGGTGAAGGGTGCGGTTCTGGTTTGGCCCAGAACATTAAGGTTAAACGGGCAGCAGATGGTGGATTCACGCAGGAAGCGCAGGAAGGAAGGATGCTAACAAGCCTACCGCCAAGCCCTTTCCCTTCCGCCAAAAACAATAAGAAAACTTTTACTTGGGCCAACACCATGGCACCCCTACATCCTAACATCCTTTCACCCAGCCCCCCCGCTACTGTTCTGCTAACCTAATTTGAAAAATGCGCTAAAAGTTGAAAACTGACATTGTTTGGCAAGTGCCAACAGAAAAAAATCACCAAGATAAGGCAAAATTGAAGCCACGAATGGTAGATACTTAGCATAACTTAGCGCTGCTTGTATTTTTGCGATTTTATCTTTTTAAAAGGAATTCCGTTCTAGGTGACATCGGTAAATTCCTTAAAAGCTTTTTTTGATAATAAAATATAGCTAAATATTACTTCGCCGAAAATATTACTATAAAAAAGTGTTTTTTTTTTTGTAACTTTTCATTCATTTTATGCTCTTTATGAACATTTTAAGTTTTATTAATAGAATTATAAAGTATTAATATTTATTTTTAAATGTGTAGGTATGTATTTGTAAATTGTAACTATGAATAACATTTAATGAAGAATTTTTTGGTTACAAATTCGTAAGGTTCCCCCATAAAGTATACTATGATTTTTTTAAACAGCTTTCCTCAAATATTTCCCGGTAAATAATGCTAAAATATGTAGACCGTCTCATCAAACGAAACTTAATGAAATAAGCCAAGTGCTCGCCCATATAGGCACAGCAAGTATAAAAGGGGCGTGGTCGCTGCCTGCCAAAAGCAAGTCATCGTCATGAGTCGCCTTTTTCAGTTTTTTTGTAGATTTCGCACTTAAGGCTGCGGCAAAATGTCTACACAGAGTTTATATATAAACACACACATTTATTTATATATATATCTGAATAAGTTTGCGTTTGCGTTTGTGTGCGTGCAATAAAAATCATAAGCAAAACGTTTAGAGCGTTTGGCGTTGATTTTGGCCTAGCCACGGGAAATTTATGCTTTTAGGTCGTGGCAACTAGGAGAATGTCACCAGGCAAAAGGAAAGCGGAAAGGGAAGAGGAAGGGGAAGGGGAAGGACCTGAGGATTGAGGCAGGATGATGAAAATGGACACGACCGCTATTGATGTAGGCCCAAAGGGCCAAGGGATGTGACCGCCTTTTATGGCTCCATGCCCCAATAAAATACCATCAACCATAATTAAGCGATTTGCAAACAATGCACAGCCATATAAAGGCAATGAATAGTGCTGGGATAGATCGAAGCTGAAGATGGCTTGATTTCGCATAAATTACTTTATGGGGAACATAAGGAAAATAAGGCAACAAATGTGGCAATCCTTAGAAGTTCGATTAATTAGCAATATGTTTCCCGAATAAGTTTACTCAGTTATAGTAAGATATACAAAGCAATCAAGTTATGGCTATAAAAATAAGATATTTGATCTGATGTTCTGAATTTTTAAGATTACTTAAATTTAATTAATTAATTTTAAGCTTCGTTTGTATAGCTTTATTTATTAGATATGTATCATTCGTTAACTGACTTTGAAGGGTATTATCCGAAGAAAAATGATTACGTTGTTATATAACACTTTTTAAAGTTAAATTTGATGTTTAATTAATGTTAGCCATTTTATTTTAGGAAAGGTCTCTTAAAGTTATTGTAATTAAAAAAAATATCACCATTTGGTCTACCCATTTACATATGAATTAACAATCAAAGTTATTCCTTCAACCAATTAAACTTTGCCACTCATAATTCATAGTCCCGAAATACAACCCCAATTACCAATTGAGAATCCCCCAGCCCGAGACTTTTCTAGTTTTCCTCAAATTTACATCTTATTAATGTTCACTCAACGATTTCAAAAACAATTAACAAGCCGAGTCTCAAACGCAGCTGTCAGATGCTGCCCGAGCCCCATGTTCATTAGCCTTCTTGCACAATTAACCCCGAGGGGCCAGGAACTCCGGAAAATAAGGAATTTTCCGTAGGCGAATTTGTTATCTAACCAGCAGTAAGCAAGAACGAACAAAAAATGAGCAGAAATGACTTTGATTTCTCGGCGAGCCCCATCCACATTTGCATACATCTGGCTGAGGCCTCGAGGGCTAAATTGCCTTTTGCAGCAGCGTCGGGAAAAGACCCCAAAGTTTAACCAACTTTTTCGTTTCGTTTGGGGGAAGGGGTAGGGCGTCCATCTAAAAGGCAGAAAAACTCAATTTCAGAAAACGACAGTCAATAAACGCACCCAGCTCACACGCACATTCTAAGGGGGGCTGATAAATCTCTAGAGCAGTATGCCAGCCAACGTGGCGTATGAGTGTTTTGGTTTGCCCTCAACCCGGCGTTTTTAAAGTGCAATCAATAAAATGCTTTTGAGTTGTGAAAATTGTGCGTAAGTGGCTTTTCATCAAGCCCCCGACAAGAGTTTTCGAGGGAGTGAGTTGGGGAATATCAGAAACAGCAACAGAGACCAAAAGGGGAACAACAAAAGGGCGTTGCTGCCAAGAGAACTTGGGCACAGTGGGTACGGGGGAGACAAAAGCCCTGGGAAAAACCCTTTTAACATTTCAAATAATCTCATCAAATATTTGTCAAGTCTTCAGTCACATAATACATTTTGTTCTTATATATTTTTAAGATATTTTATATGGGTTCTTAACAAATATATAATTAATTCTTGAATACATGAAATCAAAATAGCCCCTTTTTTCCGATACAGACGAATAATAGTCGTGTGGATTTAAGTGGATTTAGGAGTTGCTCAGAAAGATTGAAATTTAAGTAGTCCAAATATAAGTATTTAATAAGGTTAATAAAAAACTAAAGCCATAAAGGCATCATAAAATAAATAAAATTCCAAAAGTATAATTTGTAAATTTCAAAACTTAATAAAGTTGTAAACATTTTGCTTATATCTAAGCCCAACCACTGTGCCACTTTAAGCCATCGTAGTGCTGACTTCTCAACTCGGTTCCTCGTTGAACGTTTGTTATTGCCTACATTGC